ATTTGTTATAAATGGGAAAGAGGGAGGGCATGCTCCAGATTGGGGGCAGGCAGCACCCCAGGGACCCCTTCTCCCTTGCTTTTCTCCCAGGAGGTGTGAGTCCCCAGCCCCTGGGGAGCGTACCTCAGGGTTTACTCATTGAGTGGTTAATCACAGAGTCAGACAGTGGTTCGAACCCACCAGCTGCTCTCCAGGAGACATGGCAAGGCTGTCTCCTCCTGTAAAGATTCAAAGTGGCGGAGAGCCCACAGGGCAGTCTGCCCTGCCCTCTAGGCTGGCTATGCGTCGGATCGTGCAGAATGACAGCGAGTGCCAATGCTTGTCAAGTCCTGCTTCTTCCAGGTGGCAGCGACATGGGAGTGTCCCCCGTGTGTGAGAAACTCACCCAGCTACAAAATTACGGGGAGCCCTGGTGTCAGAGTGCATTGTGAGTTAGGCTGGTCACAGCTAGAGATGAGGCTTCTACGCCCATGAAGAGTGGCACGCTTGGGAACTCCCAGGGGCAGTTCCGCTCGGTCCTGTGGGGTCATCAGCATGGAGGTGACGGCAAAGGCAGAGTCTGGGTTGTGTTAGAGAGCCCCGTGGGTGGTGACATGGAGTAAGTGTTGGGTTAAGCGAGGGAAGATCGGCTGTCGGGACCTGCCCTCCTCTGTTCTGTGGCAGAAAGACGTGCAGGCTCGGCCATTCCGCTCCGTCCTGTCCGGACCCTGTGAGTCGGAACTGACCCGGGGTTAGGAGCGTGTTCTGTTCCTTGACCTCAGGAGATGTGCAAATTCAGTGATATCTCTGAGAGCCCAGCGTGGGGACGCTGTAAGCTTTCATTGAGGAGTCTTCAGGGACTAACCTTGGGGGCTACACCGCCCAAGTGCTGCGTGGCCGGCAGCTTGGTGGGCGAAGGAGCTGAGGGTACCTTCTGGTGGCTGCGGGAGCCACGTCCTCTAGGGAAAGACTTCCACCCGAATCGGAGAAGAAACAGGTGCCTGTGCCTCTAGAATCAGAAAAGAGCTACATCTACATGATTTAAAAAAAATCATTTTATTAGGGGTTCGTACAACTCATCACAATCCGTACATACATTTGTGTCCAGCACATTAGTACATATGTTGACCTCATCATTCTCACAACACCCGCTTTCCATTGGAGCCCATGGTGTCGGCTCCTCATTTTTCCCCCCTCCTGTGATTTGTTTTAAGGCCATGGGTGCAAAGGGCTGAGGACAGCCGGCGAGGAGGGCCCGGGGCCCAGGGGAGGAGGGAGTGTAAGCCTCGAGCCAGAGGCTGTGGCCGGGAGCTGGGCCCCAGGAGGCAGGACTCCCGATGCAGCCCCACCCGCTCACACACTGACTCCCTGTGAGACACTGGCCTCAGTTTCCCCAGCCCTGCCACGCTGGAAGTCTTGCCCACCGGCCCCCTCCCACCCCCAGTGAGTTCTCCTGAGAACTCTGTGCCTCTTCATACGGCTCAGGGGGGCACGTGGGGTGAGGTGTGCCAGGCGGAGCCTGCTCACTGGGGTCCCCCGCTCTCTGCCTTTGTCCTCTCTGGGGACCCTAAGCTACAGACCCCCATCCCAACCAGCCTCTTCTTCTCTGGGCCCCTGATCAGCAGCGGCTCCAGAATGAAGCGGCGCTGCTGGAAGTCCTGGCTTTGCCCGCTGTGTGGTCACCGGCAGGCCAGTCTCCTCTGCCCCTGCGTGTGAGCCTCACGTTCCCTGGGGGCGCCTAGGGCAGGGGGGAAGGGTGATTATAATTGTTCATTTGGTTGCTCACACCCCCTTGGTTCTAGCCGGGGTTTGAGAACTGGGGTGCTGCTGGGTGGGTCAGGGGTGGCTGAGAAGGGACCAGAAGGGAGGGGCTGCTAAGGAGCTCAGCTTTCTGTGTCCTGGAGGGTGGAAGCCCTCCCTTCCCCACCCTCTGTACCCCCTTCCCCCGCTTCTTACCGCAGCCTTCTCCCTGTCCAGCAGAGGGCTCAGTGGACTGAAGGCCGTGTGGGGTGCAGAGGCTTACTGCTGGGGGGAGAGGGACAGTCCAGTCCCTCCTTCCCCAGGTCAGTCCCCTCCTGGAGCCCCAGGGAGCTTCTGTCTGGGAGTTTAACACAGAAGGAGGGTCCTTGCTGGTCACGGCGGGGGTGGGGTGGGGTGGGGGTGGTGGTACCAGAAGTGCTGGGGTCTGCGCTGGTTTCCAGGCTGCTCTGAGCTGCCCGTGAGCCTTGGGCTCCAAGGTTAAGAGATGGTGTGGATGGGGGTCCTGGAGCCCAAGTCCCTCAGCTGTGACAGGACAGGTGGCCAGCAGCTTCAGCCCTCCTCTCCAGAGCCCTGGGCAGGGGCCGGCTTTGGGACTGCCCGCAGGTGTGGGAGGGAGCCTGGGGCCCGGGGTCGGGTTTGATGTGGAGAAGTCCAGGCCACAACGCTTGCCTCATCTCCCGCGAGAATTATTCATGACATGCCCGTAGCTGACGGAGCCCTTCCACACGGGGCATTGGGGGCCTCAGGCCACCTCCTGCAGGTGAGGACTTACAGCCCCCTCAAGTCCCACAATGGGGGCCACTGGAAAGCTGTGTCCTGCTGTCTGTCCAGGCATCTCTGGGCCTGGAGCCTGGAGCAGTGGAGGCCCCACCAGCCCCAACCCAGCCCACCCAGTCTGGCGGCTAGAGATTTAGCAGGATTAGTAAAATCCGGGGGTGGGGGTGGGGGGGTGAGCTTGGGCTTATCAGAGGCGCCACTGTGGGGGCTGTGGGGGTGGTTTGGCTCTGGGTACCTCCGCTTAGGTCCTGGTTGCCTCAGTGAGCTGACCCCGGCCAGTTGTCCACTCCTCTGCTTAGTCCAGCAGGTGGGCTGAGGGGTAGGCAGGCAGCCAGCCATGGGGGTTGTGGGGATGGGTGAGGTGGGTGGGAGCCAGGTTCAAGGCCAGGCTTTGTTCTCCCCTAGAAGTGGCTCCAGGAGTGAGTTCATCCTTGACTGGGGCAGCCTCTGCCACCGCAGGGCAGGCTTGAACCTGCAACCTTTCCAAGAGACCAGTGAACACCATTTCATGTGTATCCATCTACAGGATGAGTTGTTGCCAGGTGCCCTGGAGTGGGTTCCGACCCATAGTGACCCTCAGTGCAACAGAACGAAACACTGCCCGGTCCTGGGCCATCCCCATGGTGGGTCCTCGGCCTGAGACCGAGGATGCAGCCATGGTGTCAATCCGTTTCATTGGGCATCTTCCTCGGTTCCACTGCCCCTCCACGTTATCACGCATGCTCTCCTTCTGCAGGACGGGTCTCTCCTGACTATGTGTCCTAAGTACGTATACCAAGTCTCTCCATCCTTGCCTCTAAGGAGCACTCTGGCTGGACTTCTTCCAAGATAGGGATACCAGTAGTAGAAGAAAGTATCGGAGTCCACTCTACCAGCGTGGGGCCGGGGGTGTCCTTGGGTGAACCAATACTTCACCCGAGCTCTAAGGGCAAAGATGGATTTGACTTTGTGAGATTGTGATGTGGTTGGCCAAGTGATAGGGCCAGTGGGTGGGAGGACAAGGAACCCTGGTGGCATAGTCATTACCCATTGGGCTGCGGGAGGTCAGCAGTTCGAAACCACTGGCTGATCTTTGGGAGAAAGACAGGCCTTTCAACTTCCATAAAGGGTTACAGTCTCAAAACTCACAGGGGCAATTCTACCCTGTCCTATAGGGCCACTAAGAGTGGACATGGGCCCCATTGCAGTGTGGGTAGTGTGAGTGAGTGGGGAAATCTTTACAGCAAGACAGAGCAGCTGAAAGAGCCAGGCTTTGGGGTGGTGGTGGTGGTGGTGGGGGTGCAGGTTGGAGGAAGAGGAGGAGGAGGAGGAGGAGGAGGAGCAGGAGGTGGCGGCAATGTGTCCCTGTGTTGACCTTTCCACAAATACACACCTACACACGGGCTGGGTTTTTAATAACAAGTGTGGTTCCCCTGAAGAATCCTGGTGGCACAGTGTTTAAACCATCGACTGCTAACCAGTACGTTGGTGGTTCAATCCCACCGGAGGTTCTGCAGGAGAAAGGGCCTGTGACTTGGCATTGATCGGGGGCCAATGTATGGCTCATATGGAAACATGGAAATCACGCCGGGCTAGGCCGACTGGTGGCAATGAAGTGACCGAGGAGACCATGTTAGGGCGGGCTCTGGGGCTGGATAATGGAAGGTCCCCAGGGCTGGCATGGAGCCCTGGCAGATGGCCCAAGGGGTGGGTTCCACAGCAGGACAAGGGCCTGTCCAGGAGTGCATTCCTGGCCAACCCTCCCGGGAGACAAGCATGTTTCTGACTTATCTGTTTTTCTAATACTCAGCTGGACCCTCGCCAGTCTCTCCACCTCCTCCACCCTCCCCCACAGGCTCCAGGCCCTGTGCCTACTCTGCTTTGGCCAGCCCTGCCCGCTGAGGGGCACAGCTCAGGGGTAGGACACTTTCTCCTATGGGGCTGGACCTCCCATTGTCTGCCTCGGTGGATGCCCAGGGGCCAGAGAGTCCCTGTGGAGTGCAGCGCACTGTGCATGGGTATGCAATGCCACACGGTCAGTGTCCTGCTTTATGTGGTAGCCACTGGCCTGTCCTCAGCATTCTGCAAGCTCTCCAGTAAATGCAGGGAGAGGTGGGACTCAGCTGTGGCAAAGAAGATTCGGGTGAACCAAAGGAGCGAACTCGTACACATACAAACCCAGAGGCGCAGCGAGGGCACACGCCCTGCCTAATGTCACACAATAGGTGGTCCTGATGGTGCGGAAACACTGCAGTGGGCGGAGGAAGGATTGCAGCTCCTCTGAGCCCGAGCCATAAGCTCTGGCCACCTAGAGCTGTCACTGTCCCCATCTGTGAAACAGACCCTTGTGGGGGGCAGTGGTGCTGGTGCCCAGACAGCGTAGGCTGTCATGGACGACGTTGGCTTCAGACCTCGAATGCCCAGCTTGGTCTCGGTCCCCACAGGATTAAAAGACACTCAGACTCAGGGCTGAAATTAAACTTTAATCTCTCTGGGGTGGGGCTCTAGCTAGGCTGGTTGCCGGGCGGGGCCACAAAGCCGTGGACACGCACGCGGTACAGGCAAGTGAAACGTAGATTGCCCCAGTTGCTAGAGATCTTTACCTTGACTGCACCAAAGGGCCGGGCAGGCTGGTTCTGCAAGAGAGAGCTGAGGCTCAGGACACTTAGGGGTGGAAGGAGACCTCCCATTTCATGGGGAATCGGGTGGGGTTGGCACTGAGGCCCAGCAGGGCCTGGGATGGAAGGTACCAAGGCAGAGAGAACAGACAGCCTGTGGTCGGGGCCCTGCCATGCTTTTGTTGTGGGGCCCGGGGCAAATCACTGCCCATCTCTGGACCTCAGTTTCCCCTCTGTGTGGCTGAGGGAAAGGCAATGCCTGCTTCCTGGGCTGCTGTGGTGTGAAAGGAGATCTGGGTTGAAGCGACTGGCACCCACCTGGCACAGAGCCTTTCCCTTTCTGCCCTGGCGGTGGTGGCAGGCCCTTAGCCCATAAGCTCGCTGGCCCCAAGGGCATCACAGAAGGGGAACTAAGGTCCCGAGACAAGAGCTCCCAGAATTTGAGGTTGAAATGGAGTTTGTTGGCCTGACTCCTAAGCCCACTCACCCCATCAAGCCCCCCACACCATTCCAGGTACCTCCGCTTCCATCCTATCTGTGTTCCCAACTCTCCTCCTGCCAAGCATCCCCCCGCCCCCCCCGCCCCACCCTATGGGCCTTTGGGGCTAGATTAGGTGCAGGTCACAGAGCTCCTCAGTATTTGGAGGGACCACCCCTGGCTTCCAGGGCCCCCACTGTCCCTGGGCTAGGGGTGGGGGAGGCAGTGAGTGAAGGGGGTAGGGGGTCCTGGGTAGAGCAGGGAAAGTGGGGGACTGCCACAGGCAGGGCAGCTCTTCCTGGGGCCCGCTCTCAGCCCTGGGCCCTGAGCCCATCTGAGCCTCCATCTCTTTGTCTGTGAGACCGGGGGCCTTCTCCCAGGTACCTGAAGCGAGAACATCTGAATGGTGTTTTCCGGCTGGAACTGGAACGCACCCAGGAACACCTCCTCCCTGGGAGTGCCCTCCATGCCCTGTGTGAGCAGACCCGACCCGGGACAAGGGGTTGGATGTGGGCAGGGCATTCGGAAGCTGTCTCCCTTCTCCAGGCCTTCTCCCTTGCATACCTCTCAAGACGGGGAACTCCCTGCCTATCTGGGTGCTGTTCCACTGGGGCACCCAGGAACGGCTAGGAAAGAGCACCTGACTGGGAGTCGGAAGGCTCAGGACCTGCTTCTAATTCTGCCTTTGACTTGTGGGATTGGGGAGTTAGTTTCCCTGCCTGCCTTGTGACCCCAACTTCCTTATCAGTAAAATGGAGGCTGGATGGCTTTTGGGGCATTTAGGGGAGACTCTAGTCTCCACACACACACCCTCCGCCCACTGGGTACGTGCTCACGTAGACGACGAAGTCCTTGGGGGCAGTGTCCAGGCTGCCTGACAGCGAGATGGTCTTGGGGATATGCTGCAGTGTGAGGTTGGACAGGTAGATCTTCTGGGGCAGTCGAATGGTCACCTGGCCGCGGTCACCCTCGAAGGCCCAGCAGTTGCCAGGAGTCACGTTAGGCTGGAAGGAGTGGGGACAGTGGAGGCCACGCTGGGTGGGAGAGCGAGTCGCTCACCCCTGGCTCCCCTAGACCACCCTGGCTCTCCTGGTTGAGTGGGGCCCTTCCGGTCTTACAAAGCTTGCATCCAGGGCCGCCTCCCCCAGGAAGCCTCTCTGTTGGCCTGCGGTAAGGATAAGCCCTCCCCAGGCCATGGCAGAGAGGGTTCCCTCAGCCCTCCCCACTTCTTTATATGGTCTCACCACGCCCCCGGAGTGTAGGTGCACTGCACCCCCATTTTACAGACGAGGAGACTGAGAAACAGCAGGCTCACTACTAGGAGCTAGGAGAGCCACCTGGACAGTTAGCCATGAGCCACCACAATCTCCTGTCCCCTGAAAGGGAATACGGAGGCTCAGAGAGAGGATTCAGAGAGGCTGAATCACACAGCCAGAGTTCCTTCAACAGATCCTGCGTGTGTTGGCACAGGGGACATCCAGGGCCGGTGGACGTCAGGGGAGACTTCCTGGAGGAACCGAGACAGAGGGATGGCAGCACCTGGGAAGATAGGGCAGGGCAGGGGACCCCAAGCAGGGAAGCGTGAGGAAGGCCGAGGGGGAGTCAGTCTGATGACTGGGGACTGAAGCGGGGGGCTTGGCCAGGCTGCGGATGCGGATGGAGCGAGTGGCAGAGTTCTCCAGGGCTTGTCCCCCTGGGCTCCAAACCTGACCCAAGCCAACACTCTGCCCCCAGGCCTGGCCCTGCCCCTGGCCTGGCGCCACCACACTGCTGTTTACGCTGCTGTCCCTCTGTCCAGCAGGCCCTTGGCCCCTCCTCCTCTCTGCCTACTGTCTTTGGCCACTTCAACCAGGAAGCCTTCTGGACCCTTCTGAACAAGCCCTCTCCAGCCCCTGACCCCGAGTACCGGGAGGAAGGCCAAGGCGTGTGCTGGACGGAGGGCCTCACTGTCACCTGGGCCTCTCGGGGCTTCAGCTCCCTGTCTGTCAGGGCAAGATCATGGAGGGATTGAATCCCGTCTCTGTCACCACCGGTGACCAGCAAGTGGCTGCAGGCAAGTGCGGGGAGGGTGGGGCAGACTCTATCCCAGTCTCCTCCTCTGCAAAGTGGGGACATCAGGATCCACCGTCCAGCGTGTTCTCAGGGGTTCCCAACCCTTTAGTCTTTGGGGCTGGAAGGGGCCCCCTTCTCAGGCCAATGCAGGCAGTCCCTGTCCCCACTCCTACTCCACCTTCTCCCCTTGCCACAGCTCTGTCCTCTGCTCCCTCCTCCTCCTGCCCCTGCCCCTGCCCTTGCCCCGACTGCTCCCTCCCTGTCAGTCGGCCCGGTCTCTGGCCCCTGCCCTTGGCCCATCCCTGCGCCTCCTTGCTCCCACCCCATCTCATGCCACCCGCCCCATGCTAGGCCCCTGGTCTCTACCCTAACCTCTGCTCCCGGCTCCTGTCCCCGCCCCCTTGCCCCTCTCTTCCCGTCTCCTGCCTCAAGGATCACGTCCGGGGGCTGTGCATAGTTCCACAGTCGGATCCAGTTCCAGTAGGAGCGAGCCTTGTCGTGGTTGTACGTGGCTGACGTGTGATCAAAGTCGATGGTGGCCCCTGCATGGGAGATGTCGGGGGGAGGAGTGTCCTTGGGTGAGCCACCCCCAGTGTTAGCCTGCGTCCGACCTCTGCCTGATGGAGGAGCACCCCACCCCTCCATTGATGGAGCACCCACTGTGTGTCAGGCACCTACTTGGGCCCAATCGCTGAACCTCAGTGTTCTCCTCTGGGAAATGGGCCTAACCCAATGGACAGTAACAGTAGTAACAATAGCACCCGTCTCCTGGGGTCCCTGTGATGTCCAAAGAGAAACTGCACCAAAGTGCTCTCCCGGCGATACCGACACAGCTGGTGCCAGCCTCCCAACTGACATGTTCATGCCCGTGGTACCGAGGAAGGACTGGCAGCCCCGAGGGTTCGGTGAGGCCACGGTTACTCAGGCTTTGACCCCACGAACCAGCGAGCCTGGGGGCAACAGTGCCAGCTGCCTGGGTGTCCCTTGCTCCAGCCTGGCTCACCCCACCAGCCCCGAAGCTCACTCAGCCCCCTCCCAGGCCCTCCTGCTCCGAACTCCAGCAGTGTCTCGCAGAGGTCTCCTCTGGCCTGTTTCCTCCAGGGAAGCTTTTCCCTCCTCACTCACCAGGTTTCAACCCCAATGTCCCCACCCGGAGGTTCTCCTCTGCCCAGCACCCCTCTACCTCACCCACCCGCTGCCATCTCCCATTTCCCCAGCACTGGTCCCAATGCCTGTGTGGGCCATGCTGGTTTGTTTGTGTGGCAGGCCTCCTCCATCTCCGAGGGCAGATGGTGTTCCTGCCCTTGGCCCCTGGGGCCTGGCAACATCGCGAAGCTGGGCTGCGTGAAGCAAGGACAGTGCTGCGGACCTTATGGCCACTGCATCCTTGTCCACCATCTCCCCGGATCCCCCCAGTGTAAAACGAGAAATGAGCAAGAAAACCAGGTGGGGGGCAGAGGTGAGCTCTGGGGATGAACTTCCCAACAACAGAGGGGGTACCTGTGAGACACAGCAGACCAGAACTGAAATCTCTACAGAGTTCCTGCGAAACCTCGAGGTGGATGGAGAGGGGTCACTGACCTATAGACTTCAGCGCAAAGTCCGGCTTTTCAATGTAATCTCCATGTATCATCTTCATGATTTTCTGGGCCATTCTCTGTTGAGAAGGTAGAACATACAAGCTGTGCACGTATGTGCTCAGGCTGATCGTAGCCTGTGGGTGTATGTTCACACCAGGTGACAGATGACCAGTGACAGCCTCTTCTCCCTAACTGTTTGCCTGGGCTGACCCACACAGGAGACCACCCAGTCGCTGGGCTGTGGGGAAGCCCAGGCAGCTCAGGGCCACTGACTCCCTGTCCACCCACCTCAACCAGCAAAGGGTGTCCCAGGTGCTGGAGTCACACAGATCTGTACTGCTGTGGAGTCTTGGATTAGTTATTGCCACTCCCACCCCCCACCGGAATCTTGCTTTTCTTGTCTGTATAATGGGCATAATAATGACGTCACACCCTGTGGACTGTTCGAAAGATTATAACAAAGCTGTATACAGATTGTACGCTCTGCCAGGAGTGTTATCAGATTCACATGCATTCACTCATAATCCCTAGGAGGTAGTGACCACTATGCTCAGATAAAGACTGCCAATCTTTAGCATAGCGTCAGCACACAGTAAGCACTCAATAAATATGATATCCACGACTCATTGCCATTGAGCGGATCCCAACACATACTGACCCTATAGGACAGAGTAGAACTACCCATATCGTTTCCAAGTCAGTGCTCTTTATGGGAACAGTAAAGTCTAGCCATTATCCGTATTAGGCTTCTCAGTTGTTGACAAGATTGAAATTGTTCAAAAAACGGCTACAAGACCTTCCATTCCTCATGCTCTTCCCTTAATGTGATTTGGATACTCTTTCCAATGAGCAGTGGGGTCTAAGTTCCCGTCCGGCTTGTGCCTATAGTGGAAGTGATGCTACATGACTTCTGAAGCAAATATTGAGAAGGTGGCAAAGTACCGCCAAGGTTCTCTTGGGTCACCGCTGCTGGCATGCAGCTGCCCTGAGGAAACCCAGGTCACGTGGAGAGGCCACATCCAGGTGCGTTGGCCAACAGCCCTAACTGATCTGCCTCAAAAACCAACGCTAAAAAATTACTCGGCATGAAGAAGCAAGGCTGTATCATTTATAACTAAGTGGGGAAAAAAGATTCAGATAGTGTCTTTGTTAGACAAGGACTTTAAAATAACCATGATCAACGTGTGGAAAGCAAATGAAATGAGGAGTGATTTTTTGGGCCAAAATCTGTAGAATGTAATCAAGCATGCATTTTAGAATGAAACAATGCAATATCTGATGGGAAGAGCTAAAGAGATGAGCTTAACAGAAAGTCAGGCAGAGCAGATTACAGGATTACTCACATACCTGAAGAAAAGTCAAGAGAAGATAGTGAAACTCGAGCAAAGGAAAAAAGAAGAGAGCATGGCAGAAATGTGGACCACGTGCCACAGCTCTAATGGGCACCAACTGGGGTTGCAGAAAGAGAGGCTAGAGATAATGGGAAAGATGAACTCTTTTTAAAAAAAATCATTTTATTAGGGGCTCATACAACTCCTATCACAATCCATACATACATCAATCGTGTAAAGCGCATTTGTACATTCATTGCCCTCATCATTCTCAAAACATCCTCTCCACTGAAGCCCCCGGCATTAGGCAAGATGAACTCTTTCAAGTAACGATGGCTGTGAAATTCCCAAAACTACAGAAAAACACCCGCTCACACATTAACTGCCTAGTAAGATTAAAGATAAAAAGGATTTTCTATAAGCTTCTAGGGTTTAAATCTTGCTCCTAAGCCCCAAACAACACAGGTGACACTACAAAATTAATAAATAATAAGGGTGGTATTAGAATTATAAGAGCACCATTGGAAACTCGAACACATTGGTGGTCGTCTTCCTTAAAAATTTTGTAAGAAAACAAATTTTCTACTTAGAATTCTATACCCAGCCAAACTATCAATTCAGTGCAACTGTAAGATGCTTTCAAACATATGGATTCCGATATATATATTTTTTCTTTAACTCTTTCTCAGGAAGTCATTGGAGGAAAGGCTCCATCAAAATGAGGGAAGAAACCATGGGGGGAAAATGATTTCGGATATTGGAAACAGAATCAAACACAAGGAAGAAGTTAGGTGCTGTGAATCAGGGCCCATAGCCATCCTCTCACCTCATCTGACAGAGCTTCCATATCCTGGAGTCTGGCAATCAGCTGCTTCATGCTACCTCGAAGGTCTTGGATCTCCCCCGTGTGGTGCTGCACCTTCTCCTGGTAAAACCTTCCCCGGGAGGAGTGAGAACACAGACTAAATGAATTGCGATGCTCTTACTGATTGTATTAGTCTGGGTACTTTAGAGAAACAAATCCATAGAAACTCATGTATAAGAGAGAGGTTTATATAAAGGTTAAGTGCACATCAAGAAAACATCCCAACCCAGTGCTGCCCAAGCCCACAAATCGAACATTGACCCATTAGTCCATATGTCCAACACCAATCCATAAAGTCCTCCTCTATCTCACAAAACAGATGCAATGATGCCGACTGCAGGAGGAAAGCCAAATCAGTGATTGTGTAAGCATCTCAGTGCTGGCAGGGGTCTCCATACGGCTGTTCCAGCACCCAGGGCTGCATCAGGGTAGGTCCATGTGGCTTCTCCTCAGGGATGTCTTGCAGGAAATGAGCCTTGCCAGCTAAAGCAGGGAACTGGCTAAATCAGCTGCACCCTGGTTCGACCATCAGAAAGCAAGAGACCCAAGAACTAGAAAGGCGAGGCTCACCGAGCCATTTATCCCTCCACCCTTCAATTAACCCCACATGTGTTTATTGCCAGGTTGGCACAATAAACTAACTACCTCAATCCATAGAAATACAGCAATAAAGAGATAGGTTGAGTTTGGCCACTGACACTTGTGGACTTGGTTTACAGGAAAAAGGAGAAGACTAAGAACAGGTTGAGTGGTCTAAGGTTCACACCTAGCATGAGAGGACTAGACTTGTTGAGTATTGGTGAAAGTCCATGTTCTAAAGGCAAGGCAACCAATGGGCACCCTGTGGAGGCTGAGTGAGGCATCCCACATTGAGTTGACCAGAACCTGACCAGATGGAGATTTTTGAGCCCGTGAACTGGTGCATATTGTTGCTGACTTTATGGATGACCTGTCCGGATTTGACTTTGCTTATGGATGCAGACTTCGCAATATGATTAGTCTTCTCAGAGAATTGGGTTGATGTAAGTGGGCAGTATATAAATTGGATACTCAAAATTGGGGGGGATAAAGGCATGAAGTGGTTGACTTGCAAACTTTCATAGGTGGGGAACATATTCAAGGATTATAGGATTAAGGTGTAGGTGTTACTTAATTGCAATCGTGAAGCTAAAGAATTATGTACAGGTGCCAGGTTGGCAAGGGGTGATTGAGGTAGTTAGTTTATTGTGCCAACCTGGCAATAAACACATGTGGGGTTAATTGAAGGGCGGAGGGATAAATGACTCGGTGAGCCTCACCTGTCTAGTTCTTGGGGCTCTTGCTTTCTGATGGTCGGACCAGGGTGTAGCTGCCTTAACAGTTCCCTGCTTCAGCTTGCAAGGCTCACTTCTTGCAAGACATCCCTGAGGAGAAGCCACATGGACCTACCCTGATGCAGCTCTGGGTGCTGGAGAAGCCATGTGGAGATCCCTGCCAGCACTGAAATGCTTACACATTCACTGATTTGGCTTTCCTCCTGCAGTCGGCATCATTGCGTCTGTTTTGTGAGATGGAGGAGGACTTTGTGGATTAGTGTTGGACGTATAGATTGATGGGTCATTGTTGGACTTGTGGGCTTGGGCAGCACTGGGTTGGGATATTTTCTTGATGTGCACTTAACCTTTATATAAAACTCTCTCTTATACATGAGTTTCTGTGGATTTTTTTTCTCTAAAGTATCCAGACTAATACACTGATACTCTTAGTTCCTCTCTCTGCCAGTTAGGTCTCAAACAGCTAGCATTATGTTCTGCCACTCTCTTTGGCTCATTCCTGGGCCCACCCAACAGATTCTTATCTCCAAAGCGTTATGCATGCTCTTCTGCACGTCTCAAAAGGCTTTAAGCCCCTCTCAATCTCTTCCAAATATTCCTGAGTATTTCGTCTGCAATTAAGGATGCTGCCACCAGGTGGTGTCTTATTGGTTGAAAGTTCTCCTCAGCTGTCATTTACTGAGGATTGTCGATGGGTCAGGAATTACTCAAACATTGACATCTTCTTTAAAGTCCACAGTTACCCCAAGCCAGGTAAATGGAATACCCTGCTTTCCATTTCACAAGTGAGCAGTTTAAGGCCCAAAGAGGTGAAGTGATGTGCATACGGTTAGCCAGGTAGAAGTTGTGGAGCTGGTTTATTTGAATCAGGTTGGTCTGGTTGTAGAGCCCACATTGCTAGCTGAGACATCTCCGATCCTTACTCTAGCTCCAGGGTTTGGGTGGTAACGGACCACTCAGCAGATTCTTCTTACCTCAAGTTTTGCAGTGGATTATTTTCATCCGGATCCTAGTAGGTGTTTGGGAAAGCAAGGGATATACTTCAGATGACCAAATCTCGACTCAGATGACATGCTTCCACCACCAC